CCAGCTGCCCCCTGGTCAGATGGGCCCGGTCCCCTCCGCAGTGTGCAGCTGCTGTTTGAAAGTAAAAGGCACGGGAGGAAACGGAAGGTGCTCCCGAATCTGGTGTTCTTCCCTGCGACCCTTTACGGGGTGGGAGCACGGGCAGCCACCAGCTCGGGTGTCATTTCCCTGGGCAGGGCCCACCCAACTGATCCTGAGGGGGCAGCAGGTTGGAGAGGGGCAAGGGGCAACGGAGGAAAGCCATCCTCCAGAGCTATTAGGCCTGTGGCAGCAGCAGGCGTCCACGAGGGGACACCGTGCAGAGAACAGGCACGTCCTGAAGGGAGACAAAGAGGAAACGGATGTCGCCATTAAGGATAAGATTGTGGGAAGATGAGGAGCTGATCAAGTGGGAGGACCCCATGCTGTTCAAAATGGGGAAGAAAGGACGGACCGGAGCAGGGCAACTGGGCTGCGAGGGGCCAGTGGTGGCGGCACCCCCCGTGGGAGGGCACTCACCTAAGCCTCGGGGTGCACAGGCCTGGCGGGGGATGGCAGAATCCGGCTCTTCTCTCCCCCCAGGTTGGCCCGGATCCCCTTTGGTGCAGTGCCGGCCGCTGAGTGAGATGCAGCCTGCGAGCTTCACGTGGCCATAACCTTGTGCTAGGTTTAATTCCATTTTTATTTAAGGGAAAAGAATACCACCACCCAAGACCCGGCTCCTCCGACAGGGGTCCCAGAAGCCCCTTCTGGAGGACAGCCTGCAGGCCTCAGAGAAGACGTGCTTGGAGCCTGTTCCTCAAGAGAGTAAGAGCCCGCTGCGTGCGGCCCGGCGGGGCTGCTCTGCCCAGGGCTCGAGGCGCCCTCTCTCCTGCCCCACCTGGGCACAGCGGAGTCACGTTTGAAGGGAATTCTATGAGTACCAAGCAGTCCTCAGACCACTGGACCTAGAGAGCTTCCCAAACACCTGCCCCCAACTCTTGAGTGGAGCCCAGCATCCCCGGCCTGGCGCTCCCCGCCCCTGCCGCTCCCCATCCCTGTGCGCACCTCGCAGCGGGCCCTGCCTGCCCTGACCAGAAGGTGCTCTCCCCACCTCCACGTCACATCCTAAGGAGGCCAGATCAGGTGCCCCTGCCCTTCCCGGAGTTACACCACGTTCTCTCTCCTGCCTGCCCTCCCACCCCGTCCTTTTTAGTCATTGCCGTGCGTGTGAAGGAGGAGCATCTCGACACAGCTGCGCCTGACAAGGCCCTGAGTCCAGAGTTGCCTGTTCCCATCGAGAACATCAAACAGGAGACAGACGAATGAGCCTGCCCTGTGCCAGCCTGGACACCCAGCCGGGAGCCACCCCAGGGCTGCTCCTCTCCTGCCGTCATCTCTCTACCCCACTTGTGTTTGGTGACTGAGCCTTTTGGCATAAGTTCTGCTGGTGCTGTGGGCCAGGCACTGCACATGTGATCAGCCGGGACCTCCTTTGACCCCCTGTGCCTCTGCTCTTCTGTCGGGCACGGCCTGCGTGACGGGCTGTCTGAGGCCCCCAAACCTGTCTGTGAGCGACCCCCTCTCTGCTGGAGTTCCCCGGAGTTCTCCTTAGAGTAACTCCCTCCTCACCCCCACACCTCTCAGCTGCCAGGGGTGGGGGCTGCTCCCCGAGGCCTACTGAAAACAGTGGGGCATGTGTGTGCAGGGGGCCGGCGGGGGCGGCAAGCAAATAGTCCAAAATAAAGGCCTGGAGCCGCTCTCAGGGATTGAAGGTGAGCGGTGCAATGAGTGTAGCCTTCACCTAAAACACGAGTCAAGCGGACCGGCCTCTCTTGCCTCCTGGGTCGTGCTCTGCTCTTAGCACCCTGGGGATGTTGCCGCGGCCCGTGCCCACACCCAGCTCTGGCGGGGAGCCGAAAGCCGTGTTCAGGATGCGGGTCAGCAGTCTGTGAGGTGGCCTTGGCCTGTTACCTGTCTTGGCATGAGTACTGCCTCCCATTTCCTAAAAGGACGCCTGGAGCAGATCTGGGTCTGCCCCCTGGGTAGAGGGGCTCACACGGGCCGAGGGAGGGAAAGACCATCAGCCCCTGTGCCACATGGGGAGGCTCGTCGGGGAAGGGCAGGGCTAGAAGGTAAACTCAACCCAGTGTGACCCTTGCTGCCGTGGTGGCCCTGAGTGGGCTTCTGGAGGGAGAAGAGGGGAGTGGGACGTGCTTCCTGGCTCCCTTCTTCCTGTCCAAGCCCTTACCCCTGAAAGTATTAGATTGCCCTGCTCCTTTCTGGAAGGACATCATAGAGGCTCACCTGCCCAGGTTTCAGCTGCCAGCAGGCTTCCCAGCCAGTCTCCTTTGAAAGTGTGTCCTCTGACCAGTCCTGTCCCCAGTAAGTCTTCCTGGAATGTCCGGTGGACGCAGGCTGACCTCTTCTTCCCTCCTCTTCTGAGTAGAGCTGGCACTGCCAGGTGGACGCTTGTGTCCTGTAACGGTGCGGCTGCAGCGGCCTGTGCTTGCTGTGGTGCCAACTGGGTTTGCTCAGGACCCAGGCTGTCTGGCTCCCCTTGGGCTGGTCATCCCATCTCCAGTTTCAGCTGTTCAAAGAGGACTTGATTCTGTCTCCTTTGCTCAGGGCACTAGGCAGTGCCACGCAGTGCAGAAACCAGGCCCAGTGAGCGGCCTGTTGATGCAGCCCGAATTCCCCAAAAAGTGACTAGGTTTGGAATACAGTGCAGACCAAGGACAGGGACAGGTCTCAGGGGGCTGTTCCTTTTCTCCACCCGCCATCACACCCACAAACCCCAGACTTGGGCAGTGACAGGCCGGTGGCATTAGCCCTGGGGAGGAAGATGGCCTGGGTGTGTGCTTCGGCTCTGATCCTGCTTGTGGAACTCGAAGGTGATGTGCCTGGCTCAAAATAACCCCCGGTTCCCTTGCAGTTACAGGATCCAGTCTGACCGAAGAGCTTCTGGGAAAATGGCTTGTATGGCATTTGGGCCTTTAGTTCCTTCCTGATGGAAGAAGTGATACCCGCAGGGACCATGGGCACAAAAGCCTGACGCTAAGGACAGAAGAGCCGGAGAACCGGTGTAGCTGCAATTCCAGCCCTGGCCTGGCCTCCCCGGGTTTTGTAACTGCAATAGTCCCTGACCTGGTGAAACCCGATCTGTCAAATTTCTGTTCCTTGCAGCAGAGTGTATTGTGATGTGCCAGCCTCACAGCGCCGGTTAGGGAGACTGTTCACACATGAAGAGAACGATAAGAATTAATGTTGCCTGTCATCATTTGTGCACCCCGTCTCCTAGCAACTGTGTTGCGTTATCCTTACATTTCTGCCGTTCCTCTCCCTCCAGATCCTGAGTTCCCCCAAAAGGCTGAGCCATTGTCTCAGGAAATGTCTCAGAAGTGGCTTCTGAGACATTTTCACTCAAGGCACAGAATGAGCGCTGCCTCAGTTGCCCTTGGAGGGAACTAACAGTCGTCCGAGGTCCATAGCAGTGGGGCTACCAGCTGGGCAACATCCTAAAGGACCTTTCCACTTCCTGCTACCGTGGTGGCTTCCCGGGGCAGATGAGACCGAAGGCAAACCCTTGAAGATGCCTCCTTTTCTGCCACCCGGTCCAGACCCTCTGCTGTGCTCAAGGGACGGGAGAAGCAAGGGAGCTGCCATTCATAACAACCTCCTGTGCCAGGGACCAGGCGACACATTGACATGGCTTAGTTCATCCTCACAGTAACCGGTGAGGTACATGATGACCTCACTTCATAGAGGAGAGAAAAGACTTGCTAAGGTTTAGGAACTTGATTACTTAAACTCAACTGTTGAAAGAGCAGTGGGATTACACCCAGGTTAATCCAGCTGCAGCCACCAGACTCCACGTGGGGCAGGGGTCTTCCTTGACAACAGCTCTGGCTTGCATGCAGGTGGACCCTCTGCTTCCACTCCCAGGAGCCACAGAGCCTCCCCAGGGCTGGGGTGGGGGTGGGGGAATAGTTCTGGCACGGTGCATTAATCAGCACAATGCCTGGTGGAAAGTGGGCACTACAGGGGGGTTAGCTGAAAGTAATACTGCTGCTGCCACTAATGCCAGTTCTGGAGCTGGCCTCTCAGACAGAACTGCTCCCTGTCTGCTTGGGGGTTTTCTGGGGGTTCCTCCCGATGTCTTTTCTCAATACCTTCACACTGTAGCCAAATTCCCTTTTTATAAGGACACCATAATGGCCTCCACAAGCAACACTATTATGAGTTCTATGCCCCAAAGAGGCACCTCAGAATAAGACCTTATTTAGAAATAGGGTCCTCACAGAGGTAAGTCAAGTTAACATGAGGTTAAAAGGGAAGTTGGACACAGATACAGCACAAAGATTATGAGAAAAGGCACCAGGAGACACCATGGGATGGCAGAGGCAGAGACTGGACTGGTGTTGCCACAAGCCAGGGAACCTCTGGGGCCCCCAGCAGCCGGAAGGGGCAGAGGATCCTCCCCTAGAACCTTCAAGGCAGCACAACCCTGCAGGCACCTGACCTCAGACTTCCAACCTCCAGGACAGACAGAAAGTGCCCACTGTTCTAAGTCCTCTGGTTTGTGGTGCTTCATTAAAGCAGCCCCGAGGAACTGATGCAAACCCCAGCTCAGCCAGGCACCCGATCTCCGGGATGCAGGTCCCAAGGCAGCCAGAGGCCCCTGCTCCTTCCAGTGCCGCCTTTTGCTGTTCTCATTTTCCCTCTAAGGACTGGCCTCTCCCCCTAGACCCTATGTCCTCACCACAGCAGGGCCTCCTACATGGGGGGCACCCAGACCCCGCTCACCCTTCTCTGATGTGACAACTGAGGGCTCAAGTGTGAATGGATATGTCAGGATGGTGAATGAAACATCATGGGGGCGACGGGACAACAGAGAGGGGCCAGTCTGCAGCTGGCAGTCGCTGACACACCCTCCCTCTGCCCTTCCCGCCCCAGGTCCTGCGTAGGAGCAAGGCCCTTGAGGTCACGGTGGGAAACGGCCCAGTCAACAGTGATCCAGCAAATACAGTAATGGGGTTGATTTTATGGACACATTGGGTCCAGGTACGCTGTGGCTTATCGAGAGGCCGTCCCACAGGATGAAGTAGCATCCTTACAAACCCCCCTGGGCCCAGGGAGGAGGTGGGAAGAGGGGGATGGACATTATTGAGCAAAAGCAACAGGGTTACTGCCCAGATTTGGAATGGAATGAATGAGAACCAAGAGAAGTCAGAACTCTGCTGGCCCAGAAGCCTCCCCACATTCCGTGGCCAACCTTGCCTGCTCCGCGACGTCTTCCCTTCATTGCGGTTCTCCAGGCACCCAGCCTGGGAACTTGCATCCGCTTGGCCTTTCTGGCAGTCCAGCCCGGACAGGTTTCAAAGACAGCAGCTGCAGCCTTCACCCTCTGGCCGCGGGCACTGGGGGGTGTGGCACAGGTGGCCCCCACACGCAGGTTCAGCCTGGTGAGCCACCTGAGGAGAGAAGAGAATTCGGGAACCCACTGTGCTAAGATTTTTCTGAGAAGAGCACGGAGGGACTCCTAGGGAATTTGGGGGCAGTGGGGCCTGGTGGGTAAAGGCAGACCCTGACCCTGGAGAGAAGCCTGGCTCAACCCCTCGCCAATTACGTGACGCAGAGCAAGTCATTTCTAACCTCAGCTCCCTTCCCTGTAAAAGGGAATAGTAATAGTTAACAGTGAGCTTGCCGCGCTCCTAAATGTAATTCTTACAACCACCACAAGGTGGAAACAATGACTTTCGTCCCCTTTACAGTTGAGTAAGGCTCAGAAAGGTCATGGGGCCCAGTTAGCCAATCAGAGAGCTAGGTTTAAGCCCAGGTCTGCCGGACTCCAGAGTTCTTGTTGCTTTACGAAATTATGTAAAGTGCCTGTGAATAGTTATTGGGTCCTACACAACTAGGCTGAGCAGATTTCACTCCCACTTTATTGATGAGGGACTCGAGACTCAGAGAAGGGCCCCCCCTGGCCCTGGGTAAACTGGCTCCCTCCCAAAGGGTGGCTGGCTCCAGCGGGATCCACCCCGACCCGAGGCTCCCCTTGGAAATGATGGGGGCCTGACTGAGAGCAGCCGGTGGGTCCGCAGCTGGGGGTCCAGGTCGGGGTGCTTACCTGTGCAACGGGAGCAGCCGGCAGTCACAGCGGAAGGGATTGCCGCTGAGGTCAACGAGCTCCAGCTGGCTGAGGTCCGGCAGGGCGGGCAGGGTCTGCAGCTGGTTCTTTTGCAGGTGCAGGCTCTGGAGTCGGAGCCCCAGGCCCCAGAAGGCCCCAGGGGAAACCTGCAAGGAGGTGCCAGGCCCTGGTGTGAGCTCCCACCAAGCCCATCTCACCCCATAGGCCTGGAGGAAAGCCTGTGCCTCCCCAGCAAAAGGGTAGAGAGACCAAGATGGCGCAGGCAGGAGGCCCGTGCTGGGGTTGGTCTGAGGCAAAGCGCCTGCCGTTTACTGGTCACCCAGATGCCTGGCTCAGAGTCCTCTCTGCTAGGCCTGAACCCACTCCCCTTAATGACAAAGCCCTTGAGCCTGCCCTCAAAGCATAAAACAGTAGCTAACGCTGTGGACCCATGTTCCTTCCTCCTCCGTGAGCCATCAGTGCCCGCCCTGGCAGGCCTCTCAGTGGATTGCACCTGGTCTGTCACCCACCCCTGAGCTGCCTGGGGGCAAGCGCAGTGTCTGGGCTTCAGGATCCCCGTGCCCAGCGTCAGGGCTGGCTCCGTGGAGGCAGCAGTGTTTGAGTGCATGCATGCTGCACGGGGCCTCAGGCTGCCTCCCCAACTCCTACACCCCACGTCCACCTGCTCTAGACCACTGCCGTTCAGGAAGAGGTGCTGCAGCGTCTGGCCCACAGGCTGGAAGGCTGCATCTCGCAGGGCCCTAAGCGGGTTTCCAGAGAGCTGCAGCTCCAGGAGGGCAGGCAGCCCCTCCAAGGCCCCAGTGGGCACCTCTCGCAGCTGGTTCCTGTCCAGGTGCAGCTTCTCCAGCTCCAGAGCTGGGCCCACTGCCCCCCGGGAAACCTGGGTGATGCGGTTCCCACTCAGGTAGAGCCAGCGCAAGGCCTGCACCCCTGTCAGGTCCCCAGGTGCCAGGTGGGCAACAGCATTGTCTTGCAGGTGCAGGGAGAAGAGGCCTGGCAGGGCACGCAGGGCAGCCCCTGGCACCTGCAGGAAGCGGTTGCGCTCCAGGTACAGGTAGCCAAGGCGGGGGGCCCCCTCAACGGCGGCAGCGGTGAGGCCTGAGAGCTGGTTGTCAGAGAGGTAGAGGTAGATGAGGCTGCCCAGCCCCACCAGGGCGCCAGCCTCCAGCTCTGCGATGCCACAGTGCTGCAGATGCAGTGACACCAGATGACCCAGGCCCGTGAAGGCCGCTCGAGGCACCGAGGGGAAGTGGTTCCGCCGCAGGTCCAGGAGCTGGGTGTCGCTGGGGAAGCTGCGGGGCACGGCCTGCAGGCCTCGGCTCTCGCAGTTGCTGTGCCGGGATGCGGAGGCGCACCAGCAGGCGCGCGGGCAGGGCCGAGCCGCCCCATCCTTCTCCTCGGGGGCCCCGGAAGGGGTGCGGAGCCGCACGGCAGCCAGCCGCTCTTCCTGTTCCTCTGCCGCATCTGCAGGGCAGTGCAGGTCTGAGGGCCGCAGGGCATCCAGGGCCTCGCCTCGCAGGTGCCGGGGCCCCCTGCACGTGCCGTCCGAGTGCACCCGTGCCTGCGTTAGCCACTTAAGCAGCGGCTGGGCCTGGCAGCCACACCACAGTGGGTTCCCCTGCAGGCGCAGCCGGCGCAGCTGTCCTGGGCCCTGCAGCGACGGCAGAGCGTCCAGCTGGTTCCCGCGGAGGTCCAGGGTGTGCAGCCGGGGGCAGTGGGCGAAGGCTCTGGGGTCCAGGACCTGTAGGGCCCCATGATCCAGCATCAGCTCCCGCAGGCCAGGCAGCACCAGCTCATCCTCCTCGCCCACGTAGGTGAAGGGGTTGTGGCCCAGCTCCAGACGGGCCAGGCCACGGGCCTGCGACAAGGCTGGCCCCGGCAGGGCCTGCAGCTCATTGTGGTGCAGGCTGAGCCGGCGCAGGGCAGGCAGGCCAGCCAGGGCCTCGGGGGCCAGCACACTGAGCATGTTGTGGGACAGCTGCAGCCAGCGGGCGCGTACCAGCCCCTGGAAGGCCATGGCTGGCAGGTAGACGAGGGCGTTGCGGGCCAGGTTCAGTGTGGCCAGTGCACCCAGGGCGCCAAACATCCCTGGCCGCAGCTCTTCCAGCATGTTCCCTTCCAGCTCCAGCTGCCGGAGGGAGCGCAGCCCATCCAGTGCTTCTTGGGGCAGCACACTCAGGCGATTGGAGGCTAGGTTGAGGTGCAGCAGACGGCCCAGGCCACGGAAAGCACCCTCAGCCACCGTCTCCACCTGGCAGTGCCGCAGGTCCAGCTGTGTCAGATACGGCAGGTCCTGGAAGGCAGCTGGAGGGATCACCTTCAGCATGTTGCCCTGGAGGTCCAGCCGCTGGGTCAGCTGAGCAGAGGGGTAAAGGGAGCTGAGCACAAGACTATGGCCTCGGCCCCTTGCTATCCCTGGCCTTTGCACATGCTGTCCCTTCACCTGGGACACTCTTCTCCCTGTCACCTTTGCCTCACCCTTTCTTCCTGCTCCCTGACACTCCAGGATGCCTTCCTCCCCAGCTATCTGGGCATCCTCCACCCTGGTATTTTTCACATTGAACTGACAGTGCCCATTTATTTTCTCTTCCTGTCCCCAGCTCTTGACTCCATAGGGCAGAGACCATACTTTATCCTAGTATATCCTCAGTTCTCTGCCAGAGTCTATAATTAATTCAGAAGTTATCTAGAGGTCACCTACTTGCGCTAATCAAGTAGTTTTAAGTAGATTGCTTCCCTATTGTGGGTTATCATTCCCATTTTGCAGATGTGGAGACTGGGGCTCAGAGAGGAAAACTGACTTGCCAAGGTCTCCCGCCAGGCGGGGGCAGACCCACTGTGCCCACGCTCCTCCTGCTGTCCCCACCGCTCCCCCTGCCCCCCCTGCCCTGCTGACCTCAGGGATGGCCTTGGGCACCTCAGTGATGTTCTGGTGCCGACAGGAGACATACCGCCTGGAATTGTCACAGACACAGGTCTGTGGGCAGCGCTGCGCAGCTGCATGCCAAGCTGGGCCCAGGGGCAGCAGCAGGGAGAGCAGCAGGGCCAGGGTGCAACGGGGCCTGGGAGAGCGAGCAAGGCTGTCTGTGCGTACAGTAAGAGGCCCCGTCCACTCCCTGAGCCCCAGGCTGTTCCCACAGCCCCTCAGCCTTTGGAGACACCCCAAGGAAGGTGTCCTGCCCTGAGCATCATGCCCCCCACGCAGCCGACGCTCACTTGTCGGGCCTGCTCTCACCCGAGGAAGCAGGCTGAGGAAGGGGAACTGGCCAGTCCCTCTGCACACAGTGGCTCACTGCGGCCTTGCTGAATGCAAGAACGGCTCAGAGCGTGTGCGCAGGCTGCGGTGAGGCTCTTCCATGGGAGGCTGGACCTCCCAGCATGAGAGCAGCAGCCAGTCCTCAGACAGATGCGCCAGCTCCACGGTGGCCAGAAGCACAGTAGCCAGAGGGGAGGACCAGGCATGGCCCAAGTTGTGAGCCAAGACTTTGGGGACCAGGTATCGCAGGGCCTGAGAGCTTGGAGAGGAGCCTCAGCAGCGGTCAGAGCTGTGCTGCCGGGCGAGCAGGCAGCCCAGGCCTCCCTCCTGTCCCTCACGGCCATCCTACCTCCATCTTAGTGCCACCCTCTGAGACTTCTGGGGACAAGAGTACAGGTTTGGGCTGGCTTTGAGCTGGGCAGGGCCCACCCTCCCTGGCCCTCCTGGCCCCCCATCGATTACCCAGATGACCCCTTCCCCTCAAAACTGCAGCCACTGTCTGTCACTTCCCAGGGACGGCCACTGCCAGGGCGACTGTCCCGGACTCCCCCAGGGTCTGCTCACCTCCGCCCACAGGGAAGTTCCCAACATGCAGACCTGCGGAAAGTGCTTCCGCACCTTCCACAGCCTTTGGTGGGGCACCCCCACCCACCAACTGGAATCTGCTCCCCTTCCTCAGCGTCCCCCTTGGTCCCACCACCAGGAGCAAGCTGAACGACCTGCCTCCTCCTGCGACAGCCACCTCATGTCATGGCCCCAGAGGGGCCTTTCCTGACCCCTGGGCTGGCCCACCGGTGCCTCCCAGCTCCCACTCACTGCGCTGTCCCCATCTGATTTTCAGTCTCCTCGGGGTCCTGGGGCCCAGCCCTGGCCTTGGAGCCGGTGGCATCCTCTAGAGCCAGAAGGCTGAGGCTCAGGGCAGGGCTGTGGGGACAGATCCCTGAAGGACAAGCGCCCAGGGCTCAGAGGGCTGCTGTGCTTTCAGATAAGCCCCCAAAGGACTAGCCCCCAGGAAGCTGTGTGAGCAGCCTTACTCCCACTCATGCAGGGAGACCCCAGGACAATCTGCCCAGGTGGACCCCAGAGTCCCTGCCCCCAGCCCAAGAGAGGCCCAGAGCGCCAGAGCCTTGCCTGTGCCTTGCATCCCAAGGGCCCGAATACTCACCCCTCCATGCTGCCTCTCGCAGCCAGTCCAGCCTGGAGGAGCAGCTCAAGGGAAAGGTCCACAGCGTCCTGCCAGGATGCTGACGGGAGCCTCCCTCCTGGCCTGCAGGCCTGTCAGCGGGGACTGGGCTGAATGGGAGGCATTGTGGGTAGCCCAGCCTGAGGCTGAGGTGAAGGAGGGGCCGCAGGGGTGGGAGAAGCGGCTGGAGTTACAGGGCCTCCTGCCTGGTGCTGGCTCAGGATGGTGGCCCAGGCCCAGACCGCCGCCTGGGTGGCTGGGTCCCTGGTTGGCCAGCACAGAGGGGCTTCAAGGGGCTGGCCTGTCGGTCCCAGACTGGGGCTCCCTCTGGGCTGTGGGACCACAGGCAGGGGCTGCCTCTCACTGAGACTCGTTTCCCACTCTGAAAAAACCTATTAGTTAACTAGCTTTGAGAATTAAGGTGGGCACCTGGCAGACAGTAGGTGCTTGACACTGCTAACTCTGTCCTTTCTGTTTGGGCTGATTCCATACACTGCTTAATACTGTACACATAATATTCTGCAGGTTTTTTCACTCAACTTCAAATTACTGGGAGTGATCCAGGTTTTCTTCTTCTTAGTCATATTCCATTACTGTAACTGTTGTATAGTATCCCATTATACCAGTGTATCAATTTTCCTTATTCATTCATCTTGGGCATTTTGACTGCCTCCAACTTTTTACTCCAATGCTGCAAAAAATACCCATATACTTATCCTCCTGGGCACAAGTGCATTAAAAAAAAAAAGTTCATCTAGACTGCAGCATACATTTAGGTATCCTATCATCTTTCAGATCCTGTTATTTTTCACATCCAAGTTTCTGGTAGAATCGCATTTTTCGTTGTTCAGTTTGGCTTTTTCTTTTTTAACTAGAAATAGTGCGGCAGCACACAGACTTCTGCATGCGCTCTCTTTCACTCAGCAAATTGCCTATCAGTGGAATTACAGTGTGTACTTCTATGTCCAGCTTTTTTCATCAACATTGTGAGATTGATTAGTGATGCATATTTAAAATTTTTGCTTGTTTTCACTTTTATTTAACATTCCACCTTTCCATTTTATAAATATTCCACAACAGTGGTGTGGGGGCCAGGCAGGAGAACAATCTGCCCGAGATGCAGTTAAAAAGCTGGTGTATTGTCAATAGGAAATTTAAATACAATGGGACCAACCTAAAGTTGGTTTGCTTTTTATTGTCATCATGTGCTGCCAATTGTAAACAGGCTAAAATGTCCCTCCCTGCTTGGGTGAACCATTTCGACCTCCGCCTACTTGGTACCTCACCAACCACAATTATCCCTTCCACTCTTCATGGGTTGTTTCCAAGGTGGGGCTATTTGGGAGATGCTGCTTCCACTTTTGCACATCTTTTGGTGAATATACCACAACCCAGTTCCGTAGGGGCACACCTACAGGCAGAATTGTCTTACAGTACGTTTATTCTTAGCTTCAACAGATACTGCCAGTTTCTCAGAGTGGTTGTACCAACTTACATGTTCACTGCAGTATTTGAGTTCCAGTTTGCCCAATATCCTCAGTAACACTTGATTTTGTCTATCCTTTGTATGTCAGCCATTCTTGTGAGGGTGTAATGGTATCACATTGTGATATTTTTTTGTATCATTAATCTACAATTACATGAGCAACATTGTGGTTACTAGACTCCCCACTGCATCAAGTCCCCACCACACACCCCATTACAGTCACTGTCCATCAGCGTAGTAAGATGCTCTAGAATCACTACTTGTCTTCTCTGTGTTATACGGCCCTCCCCATGCCCCCCACTACATTATGTGTGCTCATCGTAATGCCCCTTTTTCCCCCTTGTCCTTCCCTTCCCACCCACCCTCCCCAGTCCCTTTCTCTTTGGTAACTGTTAGTCCATTCTTGGGTTCTGTGATTCTGCTGCTGTTTTGTTCCTTCAGTTTTTGCTTTGTTCTTATGCTCCACAGATGAGTGACATCATTTGATACTTGTCTTTTTCCACCTGGCTTATTTCACTGAGCATAATACCCTCTAGCTCCATCCATGTTGCAAATG